TCATAGATTGTCTTTCTGCAAAGAGACTCGAGTTCTTTTTGCATTTTCTTGCAGACTTGATCTCGCTTCTTCCTTAGCTTCTTCTTCCGTACATAGTGGTGTTGCTAGAATAGTGCGGCAACTATTCACTCCAAAAAAAGGTGAAGAACCTAAAGAGCTGCAGGGACAGATTCTTGAAAAGTTGAGCGGTTGTGCTTCATCAGAAGAAACTATCAGTAATGATGTGCATGCCATTCTTGAAAAGGTAGAATACCTTTAGCAGATCTCACAAGCATAAATTAGGAGCTTTCTTTAAGATTCTCGATAAAGAAGAGGAGGCACTATCCAAAAAACAAGCAGCGGAATTTATGAGTTGGCATAAGCGGCGGCAAGATCTTATTACTGCGCAGGCAGATCGTCTTCTATTGAAGGTATGGTAGCTAGTGTAGCTGTCAACTACTGAATATTGCTATAGATTACTTTCAGATTCGCGCTGAGGAGATCGCAAAGGAGTTAGGAGATTTGGAGCATGAGACTGAGAAACTCACGTTCTTCGATAATCGATTGAAATGGGAGAAGAAAGCGGCGCAGAATGCAGAAATCATACAGCAAACACCTGGAAACAAAAGTGAAGAGGCGGCCCTTTAAAAATGGCAGTCATTTTTCTATTATTATTATTATTAAGAAATATATAGTTTAGGTTAATGATTGTGCAAATATTTTCTTTGCGTCAGGTGTAAGCAGTTTTTGTGAACCATATAAACCTTCAAAATTTTGTTAGTTATATGCAAAGTGGTAAAAAGCCAATAGTTCTTTTTCGGTAATGTGTGATTGATTGAAAAGCACTACTGTAAGATTACATTCGAGTGGAATTCATTTACGAATCTGCTTATAGGCAATGCTGGTGTGTGTGAGTTTGAAGTAGTTTACGAAATTGCCCAAAGTTCCGCCACAACTTTGGGCAATTTTGTAAAATACTTCAAACCCAATCTCTCAATATCTTGCAGTTGACTCGAGAAGAATGAATGCCAATGATTAACAGTAAATGTCATTTGAACGAATTCTAAGTCCTATTGCTGTCATGCTGTCGAGATAGTGCATACATTGTTATCATTTCTTTCCCCAACATACTTTTGGGATGAGCCGAAAACTTGACGCTGCCCTTAGAGGCTACTTCTTGCTTACAGTAATGCCACTGATCTGCAAAAATAAGCGTTGACTGTTCATATGCTATGGTTTTATCTATGGTATAAAATTGTGTAAGTGCTTGGTTTTCAGAAGAATACTGTCGATAATGAGCATATCTGCAATTATTTCAAGAATAGTTGCGCTACCCTTAACTATTTGATTTTGCTTCGTGTAGGTGAATTTACCTGAGTTTTTCGTCTACTTCCAGATTTTTGAAGCTGGATGTCTTTGCAAAATCAGGTGAAGTCAAAGGAAATGGAAAGTAGATGTCGACTCCGTGGGTTTTTTTTAGGAGGGCGCGCATCATCCTCCCATCAAAGGCTTGCCGCCTTTCGGTTCTGCACGTAGCGCCCCGCCCATTTCTCCTATTGGCTGTGCTTAGGCAAAAGGCGCCGCGGTGGTAGATCAAAGTGCAGTACGAACCAATAAG